CTTCTAAACACATAAAAATACAAAATAGAGAGAGAGAGAGAGAGAACAAAGAGATAGAAAACGATAACAACAAGAGAGAGAGACAGGGAGGGAGAGTCAGACAGAGAGCTTTGGACGAATGCAGTGTTATTGTTGCATATGTGGGTCCTAGTAAGCAAGACAGTTTGGTGGAAGACCACTCAGAGTGCGCACTTGCCCTGCTTCACGTGCGAAATCTTTTCAATGAGCCACAGCTGACAAGAAACCCAAAAAACCAATTAAACCAAAAAAACCGAAGAAACCAAAAAAACCAGAGAAACCAACAAAAACCAAAGATCTGAAACTCTCCGGCCGTGGAGCTCCAAGTCCAAGAGTCTCGGGCAATTGTTTTTTTTTTGGTTTCTTTAGTTTATTTGTTTTTTTGGTTTCTTTGAATTGTTTTTTTTGGTTTCTTTGGTTTTTTCTGGTCTCTTTGAATCATTTTTGGTTTCTTTGGTCGTTTTGGTTTCTTTGTTTTTTGGTTTTTTAGTGCTTCTGATTTGTTTTGGGCGTTTGGTTTCTTTGTGTTTTTGTTCTATATTGTGCTTTATAAGGTTGGGTATTTGTTTTGGATTTTCAGAGATGTTTCGCGCGAAAAACACGGCAAATGCGCACTCTCAAGGACCCCCGTTTTGTATAAACTCTGGATGCAAAAAGCGTAACTTAAAGTAATGAAACGAAGTGCACGAAATAAGGAAGCACGCATTCTTTGTTTTCACTTATTTCGTTCACATTCGGTTCACAGTTCTCTTATTTGGTTCGTGGCTTTCTTGTTTTCATTTTACTTAAATCACGCACTCACTCACTTCTTTCGTTCATTTGTATTTAATCAAAGAAAACAAGAGCCACTTCAACTCACATTCACCCACAAGCCTATTATAACTGGGAGATTAGTTCATCCTGTAAGTTTGGAGATAGTGAGGAAAAGATTAAAGGAACGCTCTTTTGTTTTCCTTTTGTTTCCTTTGCTCTTTTCCAATCGGTGGTTGGGTTATTGTGTGTTGAGTTTAAATTAAATTAAACCGCGCTTCCTGTATTTCCCATTGCGTTTTATTTAATTATAAACGAACACACAAGGAACCCAAAAGATAGGAAAGTTATTCCTGCTCCATTTGGCCTAAATTCTATTGTATAACGGAAACTACGACTGTCCAACACCCGCCTCGCAGTCGCAACCACTTTGCATTCTCACCAGTTCCTCTGCTGAAAAGAAGAGCCCCTGCTGTCGAGTCGTCTTCATGCAATGCTCACGTCATGCCCACACAAGTACAAATCCATACGAATCTTCATGTCTTCTGCCTACGGCTCTCAAACACACGAAAACGGTAGATCCTTGAGGGGGGGTATCTATATTTATATATACATACATGTATGTATCGCGTATGTATAGATCATCACACACACATCTGTATTCGGTATATGCAAACACTTTCTCCGCAAGCTAGTTTGCACGACCTTGGCTCAGCAAACCAAGGATATGTGCATGCGAAACACGACTGGAATCAGGCCCCGTACTTTGCATCCTGATTCTGAAGCCCTCAATCCGAGAGATTCAGCTGTCCTACTGGTATCCATAACCCAGTTCCGTGTGGTCTCGTACGCCATGAGCATCCAGACCGATGCCATGGAAAATATGCTGGCGGGCACAACGTCAGTTGGCGATGGTATTACTCACTGCGAGAGTCACTACCATAATCTTTCTGGAAGGTATTTCCGGTGAAAAGATATAGCAGACCAAGAGAGCACGCGCCAACTGAGAGCAGCCTGCACCCTAGAGTTAAACTCCAAACCTGCACAAGGGCTTGGGACTTGGGACTTGGGACAATTGGAGCTCCGAGCACGAGCACCTACCTCCTGAAGGTTCCGCCACCAAAGGAGAAACCGCCACCAAAGCTGAAGGCAGCAGGTGAAAACATTGCTGCGGCAGCTTTGGTCGTCGTCGTGGTGGTGGTGGTGGTCGTCCTTTGTCGATTGCCGCTGGCTGTGTTGAAGGCTGCACGTGCCACTCAAGGTTCGGAGTTTGGAGTGCAGGGTGACAGATCTAGGCTGTTCAGTATACTAAGACACCCCTCCTCAACAGAAATCCAAGCATCGTCATGGTGGGCGTTGTCTTGGAGACGTAAGGGCAAGCTGCACCCGCAGGGTAGGTCGGTGTGAATGCCCCAGCCATGCAGCACCTCAGGAAGCAGACTTTGGGGTTTGGGGTAGAAGCCCCAAATCCAAAGCACAAATCTGATTGAAACTCAAAACTCCACAATTGAAACGCGAAACCCTGAAGCTGTAGAGAGTGCCGTATGGCGCCCAAGCTTCTACAGCGTCGCCATCGAGGGATTCACTCTATCAAGATGAGGGACACTCAACGGTAGCCAAAGGTTCAGAAGAAAGCCTACACTATGCAGAATGTCATCCGCAGACAGACGTCTGGTGAAAGGCCCCAAATGCCAAACCCAAAACCATCCCTACACCCCGAAGCCGTGACCACTGAAAACCCGCACCAACACTGGCAAAGTTGCCAACCTCCTGCACCATCCTGCACCTAAATCCTGAACTCTGCAGGCTCACCCTCGAACACCTTGAACGCAGCACTATCCTGAAGCCTAAACCACGGTAAACCGTACACCCTCACGCCACTGAGCCCTCGTGCGTGGACGCGCAGCTTGCTGCCGGCGTTTGTGCAGGCAGGCCAGCGTACCAGGTGCTCGAGAACACGGCCGAGCCAGGCTGCAGATAGACCTCCGGTGGGTGCAGTGCCGTATACGACCTTTTTTCTTGATACTAACAGGATATACCCGAGGACAAATGAAGGTGAACAGCAACGGCTGTGCGAAGCAGTTCATGAGTGCAGCTACTGCGAGCACTCACAACACCGTTAGTATGGTGCAGCTGAGGATTCCGACTTTGAGATTGTTGCGGAAGGAGGATTCTAGCTTGCGCTTAAGGTTCGGTCGCGGGACCTGGGTTTTTTGGTGCGACTTCTCTCGTCCTTGCTACCACCTTCAGCAATCGGGTCAAGTCTGAGGGGATATGTTTCACGTGCAGTCCAGACCTTTTCGATGGGTCTGGATAGCATGTTCTCGGATGTGGCGGGTCAAAACGCCGGAGCACTATGATGTGGGCAGAGTTCCCGCCCCGAAGAGGAAACATACTGCCTCGATGAATGATCCTTTGAGTTTGGGATCCGTTTGGAGGATATTCTTGGCGACATTCGGGAAGAACGGCAATAACTGGGTTTGAAAGTCTGGGGCAAATCCAAATCATCACTGGGCGAAAGTTTGATTGTTCGGGGTTAGCCTGGGCCCGGACCTGGACCTTCTGACAAGGGGTTGCGTGGGGTTGAGGCGTGAATGGGAACCGCCAAGCCGGTGGCATTGAACGGCAACACCCCAGCGTCATTCCACTGATGCGACCCATTCCCCCCAGATCGGGAAGGGTCTATGAAGGTCGTTACGGATCCCAAAACCAGGATGGCTGACCCCAGCTGAGGGCCAAGACGTTTGTTGGAGTTTGGAGACCATTCTTTTTGTAGAGCAGGGTTCTTCTCCAAAAGAACCGATCGCTTGGGTCAGCCATTTCGAGACTGCGATGGCGACCCATTCCCCCCTCCCTCCCCCAATCCAGCTTGAACGGCCGCCGCGAAACACGATCTGTCATGATTCAGGTGCGAATTCACTACCCTGGCAGGGGCCTGGGTTGCCGAAGGGAGCACCTCAGACCTTCAGGGCTTGACGTCCCCCCGCCCCCCCCCAGTTCAGGGACCCTCAGCAGGAGTACTCATGTCGAACATCCGTCCTTGCTTTTCAGAAGCATCGGCACAGTTGTTGCCGTCGATGCAGCAATGCTGGTAGCTAGGTCACGTGCGCACATGGTGCCATGTTGTTCTGAAAGGTTGGAATCAGCTTGCGTGTCGGGTTTGGCACGATTTCTGCGGAAAAGCGGTGTTGCGCAAGAGCTTGAAGGATTAATCTTCTTCACCTTTTTGTGTGTTTGCGGGGTTGTGTGACAATCTATTTAGTGTGCTATGGGTTTCAGGATCGAGTTTCTAGAGAACCAAGCACAAACCCCCTAAACCTGCACCCTGCATAGATAACTACATTGAAATTTGCCGATAGCGCGTTTGCTACTAACTATAGTGAAGTTTGCCTAGAACCCATGAGCACAAAGATAGTCGTCCTCAGTCAGTATGGCGTATAGCCCCTTTCCTACTCCAAGAGATCTAAGGTAATCATGCTACGACGGATTGCCTACAGCCCGGTTTCTTGCTAATCCGAAAAAACCTTGCCTGCAACTGACCTCGAAAAGGCAAGGAGGGGAACCTCTGAAACGTACTACAGGCTCCCGGCAGGAAAAACAAAGTCAAGCCGGGAACCCAAAAACCCACGGAACATGCACATGAGTTGTAGACGTCGCAGTAATAGCGCAAGGGAACCTTTTTTTCTGCATGGGCTGCGACGGGTGAGAGCCTAGGCCACGAAAGGTGAAAGGATCCTCGGACCCGTCGCCGAATTCCCTACACCCGTGCACCGTCCCCGTGCACTGTTATCGCTCTCGGGCCCGGTCCCCTCCCTGCACCTCCGCGCACCCGTGCACCGTCCCCGTGCGCCGTTGTCGCTCTCTGCCCTGGTTTCCTGCACCTTCCCTACACCTGCGCACCGTCCCCGTCTCTCTGCCCCTGCCCCTGCCTGCACCTTCCCGTGTCCCCTCCCTGCCCCTTCCCTACACCCGTGCACCGTCCCCGTGCACCGTTATCGATCTCTGCCCCCCCCTCCCTGCACCTTCCCGTGCACCCGTGCAACGTCCCCGTGCACCGTTATCGCTCTCTGCCCCGGTGCCCTCCCTGCACCTTGCCGTGGAGCCGTGCACCGTCCCCGCACACCGTTATCGCTCTCTGCCCCGGTCCCCTCCCTGCCCCTGCCCTACACCCGTGCACCGTCCCCCGTGCACCGTTATCGCTCTCTGCCCCGGTCCCCTCCCTGTCCCTTACCCTACACCCGTGCACCGTTATCGCTCTCTGCCCCGTCCCCTCCCTGCCCCTTCCGTGCACCCGTGCACCCTCCCCATGCACCGTTATCGCTCTCTGCCCCGGTGCCCTCCCTGCCCCGTCCGTACACCCGTCCCCGTGCGCCGTTATCGCTCTCTGTTCCGGTCCCTCCCTGCACCTTCCCGTGGAGCCGTGCACCGTCCCCGTGCACCGTTATCGCTCTCTGTTTCGGTCCCCTCCCTGCACCTTCCCGTGCACCCGTGCACCGTTATCGCTCTCTGCCCCTGCCCTTTCCCGTGCACCGTTATCGGTCTTCTGCCCCGGTCCCCTCCCTGCGCCTTCCTTTTCCGGGCACCGTCCCCGTGCACCGTTATCGCTCTCTGCCCCGGTCCCCTCCTGCCCCTTCCCTAGACCCGTGCACCGTCCCCGTGCACCGTTATCGTTCTCTGCCCCGCCCGGTCCCCTCCCTGCACCTTCCCGTGCACCCGTGCACCGTCTGCGTGCACCGTTATCGCTCTCTGCCCCTGCCCCTTCCCTACACCCGTGCACCGTCCCCGTGCACCGTCCCTTTGCACCCTTATCGCTCTCTGCCCCGGTCCCCTCCCTGCCCCTTCCCTATACACCCGTGCACCGTCCCCGTGCACCGTTCGGCTCGTTCCACTCCCGTCGGCTCCGCGATCCTTCCGTACACAGCTTCCTCTTCGTTTGTTTTTCCCGGACGCGTCGGCTTATGTCGGCTTCGTTATCGCGCTCTGGCGGCTTACCGTTCTGAACGAGAACCCAACCCCAGAGGGGTTTTTGGGAAAAACAACGTCTCAGTTCAGGTCGTTTCGCTGTGAGCCAAAGACCGATATGTGCCTGTCAGACACGCCGATTTGAAGCACAACAGTGCTAGACTGCGCGGTCCGACTTCAAGGCTCAGGGTTTAGGAGTCAGGGATTTGGAAGGCGAAGGCTTGCCCGGACACTGCAAAAACTCACATTTTCGTGAGCGGCCTCAAATCTCTGCATGGGGAAGGCATGTAGTGTGCTGGCTTTAGCATGGCAATGCCAACACCCGTTGAAAGCACTTTTTCCAGATTTTCGCGTTGATCCCATCTCTCAGTCTTTTTTGTTCAAAGTGCTGGGAGTGATTTTTTCAATGTTGGCCACTGCCTATCTATCACCTGGGTGCCGGTCTGCTGCTAGAGTCTGCGTTGCTTCGAACACGGGACAACGAAGCTCCTGCGCGAGCTTGCGCCAGCACGAAGCACCAGCTGCACACATCGCCTTTCTTCCTGTCAAAGCGATTTTGGATGCCAAGTCTGCCACATTTACGTCCTGCCAGCTCTCAGCTGGGCCAGGTGCTTTGCGGCAGCCTTTTGCCGATCGAAGATGACATCGTCGGCAGAATAGCACTGCGGCCAATGCAACGCACAACCAAGCCGACATGAGGAATGGCTCAGCAACGCGACTGCGGAGTCAAGAGGGCTGGGCTGCGTGTGAGAGGACGATATTATGCTCCGCTCCCCCGTCCCCTCCCCCCGCGAGAGAAGAACCAGAATTCGCGCTCCTGGTGCGTGTGTCAACAAGTAGATCGTTGAAGTGGTAGTGGTCGTCCAGGCAAGGGAGGAACTAGACATGAGAGCTTGAGGAAAGAGGATGAGCAAGGAGCACCATGGAAGTGACGTCGGTCAGCATCAGGCCAACGAAATGCCCTGAATCCCAAGCACTACCAAGACATGCCCTCCCCAAGCCCTAAATCAGCACCTGGAGCATCAAACCCCGGTCCCTTGGGTCGCCCAAGGCCTCCGTGCACGATCGCGCCGCCGGCGCATCGCCTTTGTAGGTCAACTGCACATCCGTGGTGGCGTAGATCTTGCCCTGGCATTTAGGAAGATTTAAGATTTTGGGCTCATGAACTTATGAACTTTGGGTTGAGGACTTAAGTCTAGGGTCAAGGTTTTAAGCTCGGGGTTCGGGATGTGTTCAGGCAGTTGGTTGATTGAGGCTTAGGCCAAAATCGAAATCGAACCGGAAGGCCGCATCCCGGGATTAAAATCCATTATCTCGCACCGCACAGGAGGCACTTCATGCCAAACGCAAACCGGACAGGACGACCAGACTCCTGGACGGTTAGGTAAGGATCAGACATAAGCCTTTCGGGTGTATGTATATGTATGTACATATACAAATTTCATATTAAATTGGGAGCCGACATCTAGACACCTCACAGCAGGCTGCCTCATCGCTAAAGCCCGACCTATACCAAAATTACCCACAAAACGTTCGGTTCCCGCAACGGCCGAACCTTTGCATGTTTGTAACCAACCCCCAAACCCAAGGTCCAAGCGTTTCGAACCTGGGTTTAGGGTTCAATTCTTAACGCTGCATTTCTCTCCCAAACCATAGAAACCCCAACGTCCAAACCCGAAGCCAACGCTTGTTATGGAAGGATGCTGGGGCAATCCAAACAAATACCGCAGAAGGAGGCAAGTTGCCTCATCCCAATCCGTACTCATCAAACGAGGTTTGGGCTCAGGGTTTAGGAATCAGGGCTTGTGTTGCTCGAGCCTTGCAGGCTTCGATGGCGGCATCAAGCTCGCTCTGCGGAGCGCGCAGAGCGTTGATCAAGCACTCGATCCTGCGGCGGCATACTAAAGGGGCCTAGATTCTGCAAAGCCCTTACACGCGAAGCTTCAGACTCAATTACCTAAAATGCGAACCCTAAATGCCCACGACCTAAGGATTAGAAGCCGTTATCATACGATGCTCCTGATTGCTGAGACATACATGCTGGAAACTCAGGGTCCACGGTGTTGGGCTGAGGTCTCGGCTTCAAGCGCATGGCAGATGGTGAGTTGCACGGAGCTGACAAAAAACACAGACTGAGCATCTAAAGCCCCGAACCCGCTTGTTCTAGGGCCTAGGTTGTATATGCTGCAACGGTGTGCATTTTTTGATCAAGGATTCCTGACCAGCCGCATCGCCACCGTTGTAAATGCACACGGAAAGACTCACCTATTCCTGAATTCATGTGAATATTCGCTCATCTATTACTGGTCTTCTCGGATAGATGGGCATAGGCCTTAGTATGCGTGATTTTAAACATACGTATATACATGTAACATCTACATATACAGTCATACAAAAGACGCATACATACACATATGCATGCCTGCATGCTCGCAGCGAGGCAGACAGACGGATAGACAGACAGGCAGACAGACAAAGGGGCATAAACACATACAGGCATACACACATTTGCACGTACACACATCCCATCCCATCCCATCCCATGCCCTGCCCTGCCATCCCATTCCAGGCCATGCCAAAAACATCATAAAACATCACATCACATAACAATACATTGAACGCAACGGAATATGACATGACATGACATAGCATGACATAGCATAACATACGGTAACCTAACGTGCATGAAGAGGTATGTACGTATGCAAGTATAAAAGCATGCACGCATGCAAGTAGCAAGAATGCATGTATCCATGCATGGCTGTGTCCGTCTGACTGTCTGTCGGTCGATGTGTCTGCCTGTCTGTCGGTCGGTCTGTCGGTCTGTCCCTCTGCCTGTATGTCTGTATAATTGTATGTCAGTATGTCTGCATGTCGTATGTCTGTTGGTCGGCATACGTGCATGAATCATGTATGCATGCATATATGTAGGAACGTATGCTTTGTATGGTTTGGTATGGTATGGTACAGCATGGCTTGGTATGGTACTTTGAGTACGCGAGTGTACATGGTATGTATGCACGTGTGGCTCGACGTATTGACGTACCTACATCTATATCTATCTATCTATCTATCTATCTATCTATATATGTATACACATACATACGTACATACATACATACATACATACATACATTCATTCACACATAACACGACATATTTATGCATCTGCCAGGTAGGTAGGTAGGTAGGCAGGCAGGCAGGCAGGCAGAAGGCAGGTTCCGAGCTTGCGTACAGGCCACAGAAAAGCGTCAATTTCAGCTACCCTTTAACCTCAAACCCTCAATCCGCATGGAAACGCCAACCACATGCTTAGCCTCACACAGCTCTGCAGATGCAACAAGATATTCAAAAATCGCCCGAATCCTCAACCTCAAACTAAACATACTAGACTCGACTCTAAACTCCAATCTCCGGATACGAGGCCCTCAAGCCTTCAAAAGTAAGCGTGGGTGCATGGCATGCCTCTACTTAGAAAAATGCTCACACACACCTACATGGGTGCCTCATGCCCTGCCTACCTACCTGCCCACCTACCTACCTACCTGCCTGCCTGCCTGCCTGCCTCCCTACCTACCTACCTAGCCAGCTAGCGGAAGCTACCAGAATTCTTAGATGCCCTGCAACCCTCAATCCGGAATCCCTAAATCCCAAAACCCAAATCCTAAACCCTTACCCATAAATCCCTTAATCTGGCCTCTTCACAGCCCTCCACTCAGCCTTGGCCGCGACCTTCCCAAGATCTTGCATGGTAGGATGTAGGGATTCGAGGGTGTAGGGGTTGATGGGTTCAGCGGTTTACAGGTCTAGGGCTCACGGCTTGGAGGTTTTCCGTATTCAGGGCTCGGTTTACGGCTTCAGCAAGCCCGCCCTTACGCCCTTAGGAAAGCACGTACAGCAGCTTGCTGATATTCAGGACGAAACTTGCCCGGGCCATCTGCATGGGAGGCCTTCCCAGAAAAACCGAAACGAACTGCCGTAAGCAGACGGAAGAGGAGTCGGTTGAATGGAGAGGGCAGGCCGGGAGCTGGTGCCCGCTCCAGGCAAGTTCACGTGTAGACATGAAGACATCTGCCGTTTGTCTTTCATTTGCCTCCACGGCCGCTTCAAGCTGGCCGCGCTCTTGTTCACAACATGTCACGATTGTACCATCTGTGCATGACTCGCAAAAGTTGCGGTTTAGGTTCGCGACTTCAGGATGAGCTGAGCACTTCTTGTTGGACCTGCCTTGCGTGCCACAACCCTGGCCTCAGAAGAGGATGGGATTGAACCCTGCCGCTGTGTCACGGCTGTCCGGAGACAGTGATTCTCCAAAAAGTCGGCCCCGAGAACACTGAAGCCGAATGCTCACCCGCATGCTCGTCTATATGCACCACATAAAGAGGAGCCACGCAATCAGAGGGTCCGGCTAGGCTTCCGAAGCCTTGGCCCGCGCCTCGTTCTCCTTGGCCAGGGCCACGACGTTCGAGTAGATGTCCTCGAAGGTACAGGGGCTCCGGGTCAATTTCTCGCAGCGGACATTGCTTCAGATTTCGGAGTTAAAAGCTCAAGGAGGTTTGTAGTGCAGGGTGAAGAAGCTGGCTTTGGAAGTGAAGGTTCAGGACTCGGTGCTGCCGGGGACTACGACGCATGATTCCGAAGAAGCCTGCAACCTTCAATCTCCAAGCCGGGCTTTGGGTTAAAGCTCTGCCCAGCACCAAGCTTCAGGGCTATTACTGGCAATGCTATTGCATTCTGAATGCTACGCTGCTACTCAGCACCCGATGTTCTGATCCACGAAGCCTTCTTCTGGTCATAGCAGTCGGAGTATTTTCCTGAAGCCAGACTCAGGATGAAGGTAATTCCGAGCTTTAGGAGGGTTAGCTGTGGCCTGTTTCGGTTCGGCAGCCGATGAAGTCACTAAGGGTGCCGGCGCAGTCTGGGTGTGCTGAGGCTTTGAAGAACCCTGGCTTGGGCTAAACTGCCGCCAGGAAGCCGCAGGTGTAGCTTTTGTGAAGGTCGCAGGACTTCTTCTCGAAGACCTCCTGCGTCTCGTCGCAGCCAATCTTCTTGTCCTTAGCACGAGGGAGGGGCCGAGGTCATTCCTAGACTCCTGGATCCCTAGCCCCGAACCCAAATCTTGCCCGCTTTTCTCTCTACGACAGGGCGAGATGAAAGGAAACTGATCCATCAAGGCGGAGATCCCTTCGACCCTTTCCATACTGAAACTCTTGAGGTCCCTAAACTAAGAAACGTTTAAAGCCCTACATGAAATTGTCCGAAACCCAAGACCTCAAGCGAAGTCACGTAGTAAAGGCAAATCTTCTCCTTGCAGAGCTCCTCGTTCGCGAAGGGAGTATTGGTGGCGTTCTCGCACTTGTCCTTCCACTCCTTCACAAGATCATACCTTTCAGAGAAGAAAGCCTCTGCTGCCAGGAGGTAGTTGCCGATTGTTGGGACCTGAGCTTTAACTGAAGAAACGAAACCATTTAAGGCCCCCTGTGTTACTGGATCCGGAAACCAACAGCTCTAGGCACCTGCGTGCCCTCTACCATCGTGCAGCTCGTCGTCGGATTGGGGAAAACCTCAGATTGAGGACAGGCGTTCACGAGGGCTTTTATAGGTCCGATAAGCCGATAAGTGTTCTGGGCAGTGGAGCATAGAGCCTTGGACCTAGGACCCAAAGTCTGCGCCTAAAACCGCTACCCCGCTACCTCAAGGGGGGGTGAGGCATCAGAAAAAACTATTTGGAAAGATACTTGTTTCAAAAGATCAACAAAATTAATTTGAAAAAATCAAAACTACAATTTAAGGGATCAAAAAACTATTCCTCAATCTATAAGCCAAATAGAGAGGAGGCAGGCTACTTAAAAGATAAAAAAATATTTTAGGAATCGAAAAAAACTATTCCCGCTTTGTAAGCAAAATACAAGAGGAGGCAGGATCACGCGGTTTCCAGGTGGAGGGCAAGCGTTTGCTTCCAGAATCCCGCCAGTGCACAGGGAATAACATTTTGTCAGTCCAACTGGACCCGCAAAACTGTGGGTATAAATCCGTCTGGCCGTGTGTGAGAATCTCCGCTTTGTGCCTGACAAGCGCCAATACTTGGGGGAGAGCCTCTTGGATCTGGTCCGGTAAGCATTCCGGCCGCGTCCGGGTGTTGTTTTCGTTTTGGCTGGCATATATTTCTTAAACACGCCCCCTCATTTGGCGATTCCGGTTCACTATATATCTTAAACACGCTGGCGGCTCCGGGTCATCATATGTCGTAAACATGCCCATCACTTGGCGATTCCCACTCATCCTTTATCTTAAGCCCAGCCCCTCATTTGGCGATTCCGGTTCATCGTATATCTTAAGCACGCCCCCTGATCTGGCGAGTCCAGTTCATCATCATCATCATCATCATCGTCATCATCATCATATATCTATTAAACTCGCTCTCTCATAGATCTTAAACGCGCCCCCTCATTACATTGTTGACATGCTTCCGAAATCCCGACGGTGCAATGTTTTCCGTGCTATTGTGTCAAGCTATTTTTGCTTCCTCCCCGCAAACACACGTACCAATGAAGGATAACGAATAGTTGCCTTGAGTGCACGGTTAGCGCGCTCTCATCACGGCTGGCGGTATTGGTCTCACTCTCTGTTTCGGATAGCAAACAACGGGAGGGCATAGCACGTCGCTCTTGAAAGCAGGCCTGCATGGCAAAAAAACACAAGGGTGCCCAGCTGCTTGAAGGAATGTCCATTGAGGGTGCGCCATTCTTTGAGTCAGCTTTGCATGGCTTAAAATAAAAAAAAAGAGGGGGGTGGGGGGGGGGGCGAGCCCCCCCATTTGCAAACAGAATGCTCGTAGAAAGGCTGCCTGACGGAATGTCCATTGATGGCACGCCATTCTTTGAGGCAGGTTCGCGCGGCTGGAAGGAGCGGGGCGGATGATTGGCTTCTGGGAAAGGCTTCATGAAGGAAAGAAATGTGTTGACGGCAAGCTGCCATTTCAAGCAAATTCGCATGGCTTAAAGTTTAGAAATAGCGGGGAGGGTTGGGCACAGCCCCCCCACATTTGCAAACAGAATGCTCGTAGAAAGGTTACTTGAAGGAATGTCCATTGAAAATCAGGGCAGTCTTTGAAGATGAAAAAAGAGCGGGGTTGTTGGGGGAGCCCCCCCGGTTGCAAAATGCTCACAGAGAGGCTGCTTGACGGAATGTCTATTGATGGCGCACCATTCTTTGAGACAGCTTCGCATGGCTTCAAATTTACAAGAGCAAGGGGTGGGGGGGGGGGGGCTCAGCCCCCATTTGCAGACATAATGCTCATGGAAAGGCTGCTTGACGGAATGTCCATTGATGGCATGCCATAATTGGAGGCAGGTTCGCATGGTTCAAAACTTCATATGCGCAGAGG